TCAGACCATCAGCTCCTTCAACACCTCTGAGAGTCAGGCGCACACTGAGAGCGGAAGCAGGGGAATCTCAAGAAGATGCTTCACATCATTTTGGCTCGCTTTCCACGCCACAGATATCATCCACACTAAGACAGTTACATTCACTAGGGATTGTCAAACAGAGTCTCTAGCTGGCAGCCTGTGTGCTAAGAAAAACAGAGGATGTTCCATTGTAACCAAAGAAAATGACACGAGCTCCCCTTCTCTGCCGCTATGAGATAACAAAGCTAAAGCCGGACTATGGGGATGCAACACTGACTACTAAACAGAAATGTAGAAAATGGAGACACAAGATATGATTAAATAAAATCTCAGTTATATAAAATAACAAAGGTATTTCAAGTTTACTGGCTTGCAGTTAAATCCTTTAGTTCAATTTTCTATAGATGAATTTCATTAAGAAATCTAAGGCACACAGCCTACACTTTTTCAAAGTAAATTCTAACATAATGTTGCTGTCTTCATACTTTACTAGTCTTTTTTCTATTGCACTTTGTGATTGTTCCAGGGGGAGCTAAGGAAAGAAACTTCATAAAGATCAAGTAAGTCTTTTAATTTCATAGAGTGCAAATGGTCACCACCATAGTTAGTGTTATCTCAAAGCAGACACCGAGACAGGGTTCAGTCACAATTGATATGCCAAGAAAATGCTTTCAGGAAAATCCAGTGAGTGAAAATGAGAAACAGAAGACAGGAATTAAAAGCATTGAGCATGGCTGTGGTCAGAACAAAGCTTAGCTTGATCTTCAGGGAAGGACCTAGTCACAACTGCTTCACTTTGATACAAACAAGTCTTTTGTACACCTCTTATATGTTACTCAGTGGGGATGGCCAGTCCTTGAGAAAAAGAAAGGAATGTAGAGTGTAACTTGTCTTGATTACTTTTCTCTTGTTGCTGGGACAATATCTGACACAAAATTAAGGTTTTTTTTTTTTTTTTTTTTTTTTTTTAAGCTCACAGTTTGCGGAAGTTTCCAGTCTATAATCAGCTGGCTCCAAAGCAGGGTGGCATGGTAGAGGGACAACAGTTCACGGTGGCAAGAGACAACAAAAGCAGCAAGAGCAAATGGGGAGAAACCAAAACTCTTTTCCTCCCTTGTATCGTATGCAGGCTATCCTCCCACACCATCTAGATTGTACAAGATGAGGATGTGAGGACCCTGGCTCCCTGCTGAGTCTGAGTCATAGTTAAACTTCTAAACTTCTCAAATTGACATGGTTATGGTTATGATGGTTATGATGTATCAACCATAACAAGCTGGTTCCTCTCAGTCAACCACTAGCAGTTCTGAGTCTGCCTTACTGAAGGCCATCAGCAGTTGAGAGATCAGAAGAGGAATATGGCACGACAGAATTTAGCATCATTCAGAAATGAGGATCTTTTCGGCGGAGAAAGGCAAATTGTTTGTACTCCTTGTACTCATTTTTCTCCAATTGTTTCTTATTATATTCCCTCCATGGAGGTAAATTTTTAAGGATTATGAAATTTTTCAGTACAATTCCTGAGGAAACTTCTAACAGGAGAGTTACTGTCAGAAACCATAACATTACTGGCCAATGTCTCTGCTTACATCCTCTCTCCCAGATTCTGGAATTCTTTTGCCCTTGGCTCATGCCTTTGCTGATCTAGAAGGGTTCCCTGATGAGTCGAGTTCTGTTTGAGGATCAAAAATAAATTTCTCCGAGAATTAGGATGGAAAAGGCATGCACCTGGATAGAAAGAACCTAATTTTCAAGGCAAGGAGCACACTGTGGGGGGCTCTGCTCTGGGCTCTGCTCAGCAATTATCAGCTAACAGTTGCTGTTCTTTCTCATTTGTAGTTAAAACTGACTATCGAGCTGCCAAAAATCAAGTTGATTATTTAGGTGCCAAACATAATTCTCCCTGTTTCTATTATGTATTCTACTTCCTCAGGATGATCTAGCTCAGTTACCCCTACAAAGATGGTGGCCCATTTCCATGGCTGCTGGTCTACCTGTACAGGTTCCAAAGTCCCCAGGCAGCAGCTACAGCTTTCAGTTCAGTGATTCTCTTACCATGTGCCCCATTAGAAGAATCCCTCCTCAGGAACTAGGAGCCCTGGATGCACAACTGCTTCACTTTGATACACTAGGGAACTTAAAGTCATGAAGATGAAAAGCACAAATTCCCCAAGTGAGTCACTGAAAAGGATGAGGACCAGGTCCACTCTTACATATACTCCTTCATTCTTAGACTTAATTATATCACCCTTTGGAGAAACAGCATCAAATGATACCTGTTAATTTAGATATCCAAGCTGGAGCCTCAATTCCATATGTTAAGAGTGTTTCTAACACAGGAACTTCCGGACAGAGGACTATATTGTTACGATCAGTGACCCTCATGGCTAAATGTTTGGTTCCACATTTGCTTTACCAGAAAGTGGCTCCCTTTATCTGAACCAATATGATGTGAGATAACTTGTCAATGAGTCACTCTGTGATGGCTCAGACTGTGTGGGTAGAGAAAGAGAAATAACACTTTCAATATGCGTCAAGCCTTATCTGAATGAATCATTGCACTTTTCAGGATGAAAGTGTCCATTATGATCAATCTTACACTAAGTGACAGGATAATACTATTTCTGGGACTTAGAAAAGATATGTGTTTCTATGAAGGCAGCATCCAGCTGTAGCAGTAGCTAGAGCACAGTCTGGAGAAGAGGCCCATGCACAGCTTCCATTGTGTGACAATGACTACTTCTCTAAAGAGCTTTTTGTATGAACACTGTGTTAGTGAGGGAAGACACTAACCCCTGGGGGTGTCTGGAACTGGCTGAATCACATCATCCACTTAGCTGTTTCGCAGCCCTCCTCTACTTGGCTGCCACTACTGTACCTTCACGTACAGTACGAAGAACACACTCTGTGACTATTGTAACTCCAATTGCATGCCTTTCCTTAAAACTTAGTGGCACTAATATTAGTTTGTTTTCCAACTTGCCTGACCAACCTATGTCATGTTTTCATCACTGCTGATTAGTCTATCACATCCTTACATTTGGCTACTAGAGTATGCCTATTTGCAATTCCAGCACTTGGAAGACTATGTGTTGGGCCAGCCTGGGATACATAGCAAGTTCAAGATTAACCTAGACTACAAAATAAGACCTTGTCTTGTGGGGAAAAAGAAGACCAAGTACACTGCCCTAAATTGCACTAAATGAAAGGTTTCCATTGACCACTGTTTTAGAACTACCACCTACCCACCCACCTTCAAATAAGACTATAATGTAGCAGGGTCCACAGAATTTTACCAACAAATGGATTGACCTACTTACAAGTCAAGCTTGGAGTTTTCACTGTGTATCAACAGTTTCTGGGAACTCTTCTGTAAAACTATAGAAATAGCTGCTGGAGAGGGGATAGGGGAAAAGTATCAGGTGATTTAGGAACCTGGTCTACTTCTAAGCAATGATCAGCCTGAGACATGTCACAGTGTTCCAGTGCTGTCTTACAGTGAATTGGTGCTTATGATTTGCTTGGTTTGTCAGTACTAATTCATGATGGATGGTTATGATCACATTATCACAAACTATGTTCTAGAGCCCACCAGCATACACAAAGCTGTTGTTTGAATTACCTGTTTCAGATGACATATTTGCTGAAGAACCTTAGGAGTACACATGGAATTTCTCATAAATAGTTTTCACTACTACAATAACACTCTGGTTCCAGCACCCAAATAGGCACCGTGTTTTCTTCAGCATTAAGGGTTGCTGTACCTCCATTTTAATATCGACAAAAGGTCTCAGTATGCTATAAATGAATGCACTTCTGAAACTTCAAGGGTAGTACACTCCTGAAATTTCAGATGATTCTCCTTCCTCTGAATTGCATGTGGCTTACCAAGGCAGCCACAGATTTGCCTTTTGTCATTTATCAAGGTCTGTTAACATCGTGTCATCAATATAAGGAGCCAACATTTGACACTGCACAATGTCAAGACGATCCAACTCCATCTAGTCTGTAAAATGGCAAGGTGAAAAATTGGCTTTAAAAGCATTGCAATGGTACTTTTTTAAAAAAATTAAATGTTATTTGGAGAAAATAGTTTCCCTTAAACATATTTTTTAAATTATTATAATAGTATTTGAAGCCGAGTGGAGCATGCCTGTAAGTCCTAGCAACTCAGGGCTCAGGCAAAGGGACTACTTGAGTTCTGGAGTTTCATACCAGGTTATACAACATAGTAGGGATTCTTCTCAAATAACAATAATATGATGACATAATGCTTGAGAAAATAACAAATTGACAATATTTTGAGAAAAATAAATTAAGTAATAAGACTTTAAAAGAAACACAAGTTTTACATTTGCCTTCTTTAATTCAGTGTTGGAAGTCTGAGTATGGTAAAGATTTCTTGTTTGCTCTTCTATTTTTAATTGCATAAATTGACATTCTCTGATGAAATGAAATATTAAGAGATCTGCTTTTGCAGCACCGGTATTTGGAACAATGGTCAAAAGAATCAGAATTACAAACAACTCACTTATCTAGTATTATCTTAGGAAATACTCAGAGAAACTCACATTGAAAGTAGAAAATCAAAATATTTGGCCTCTGATATTTAGATATTTCAATGTGAAAAACATTAGAATTGAAAATGAGCTGTGAAGCTCTGGCCAGAGGTGGTTAAGAACTCTGATCTACACATGTAAAAGCTAAACCCACAAAGAGCAATAACTCAGGGCTTAGGAGCTCACCCAGCATGAAAAGTGACCGCAGGACTGATCCCATGCTGAGCCGCAGCCTGGAGGGAAGGGAAGGCTCCTAGTGCTTCATAAAGAAAGGATTTAGAAATCAGAGAGCCAGCGCAGGATCTAACTTCTAGCTTCAGGGGATCAGCCAAGAATTTGATTCTGCCTTTTGAACAATTTTTAGGGAACACAGTCAATCATTCAACACACAGTAAGATTTATTATTCTTCCTTCTTGTAGAATCCATGTGATGATAAACGGCACAAAGACATCTGGTCCAGGGAGAAAACCTGCGATCACTTACCAAAATTCCTTGTAATTGGGCCACAAAAAACGGGTAAGGATAGTAAACTGTTCTACTTGTTTTTATTATTATTATCATTGTGTGGCACAGTTTTGTATGAGGTTATTGGATTAGGTCTTATGTCATCAAACTCTCATGCATTCATCCAAGTTCATTGTTAAACTGCGTCTCTTCCCCATTAAGCATATTTATGCCACAAACCTTCAGAGGACCCTAATGTTGCTATTGATTAGACTTATCAATTGATTACACTTTAACAGTAGAGTTTAACCTGTCCAACACACACATTGTCTTAATCACTTTCCCTTTACTAAGACACAATACTGAAACCCTACGACGTAGAAGAGGTTTATTTTTTTCCTGGTTTCAGTCCATAGTCACCTGGTTCCAAGGGCAAAACAGTACGGCAAAGAGACACTGCAGAAGAAATCGGGCTGAAATCTTGGCAACCAGGAGGCAGAGAATGAAGGGAGGGGCCAGACACAAGAATACACCCTTCCAGGCCACACCCCACTAACCCTCCAACCAGGGCTCACCTTCAATCAACACCTTCAGCTACCAAACTCATCAATAGGTGAATCCACTGACAAGTGTAGCAACCCGTGATCCAATCACCTTCCACACACAGGAGACTTTGGGGAAATATGTTACATCTAAAAGATAACATGTCAAAGTTTAGAAAATCCTGTGTTTCTCACAATTGTGAGCGCTGTTTTAGTGTTTGCTTCGGGTGGCTTTTCTGAATTAAATCAAATTATATATAGGTAAGTGATTTGGGCAGATTTAAACACACATCAACCTAGAATTGATTTTTGTTCATAGACAGTACCACAATGTCTTTCACATATTTTGACATATGTGTGGTTTTTTTCAAAACAATGTTCACTTAATATAACTATGGTTTGGAATTATTATATTTGTATACCTGAAGTTCACCAGACACTTTCTACTTGGTATTTTCTCATGCACTGAAAGACAACTGTGTGGGAATGGAGTAAAGGAGAGAGTATTTCACCAGTGAGATGACACTTTCAATTAGAATATTTTACACTTTCTTCAATATGTGACAGTTTTATACACTTTACTCATGTCCTGATTAATTAAAGTTTTTATTGAGTTGTTGTATTTTGAATTCACTAGTTCGACTGAAAGTCTTTTCATCAGAAAGTGCTCAACCTATATCATAAAACAAACAATGACTGTAAATAAGCCTGACCTCAATGCAAATATCCATAATGCAGTAAGGAGATCATTTTAAAGGTTGTGAGTAAAAGTTTCAGACTATTAGATATTGGTGTTGAGATTGTTCTTCTACAAAGAATATAAATTGTATTACAATATTAAGCTAATACATGTCTAAGGAGGGAACAAAAGCAGCACATATTTTCAGCTATATCCCTTTTTTGCTGTTGTTTAAAATAAGCATTAATTTTTTTCATCAACTCCATTACAGGAATGCTAACTGTAGAATAAAGGCTATAAAAATAATACATTCCTATGTTTTAAAATTATGTGGTAAATTTAATTTAAATACATATCCTCTATTATTTGTCATTGAACATTAATATTTTGTAGTTTTGCTAGAAAATTACAATTAGTAACTATGAATCTGTTTTCCCTCCTTGTTGTTTGTGCTTATAAAGACAATAAGTTATACCTTGAAATTTTAATGTTTGTCCTACCAGAATGGCAGTGATAAAGCTCTTAATCGGTTTTGGCTTTCACAAAACAAACAAAAAAGCAGGTTAAAGCAAAGAAATCAGATGATAATATTTTATGTGCCACAAAATATTCTAATGTGAAATAGTTGTAGTAATTTTTCAATCCTCTCATAGATGTCTGAAGTTATATTTTGCTTCTCAAAATGCTTAGTCGACAAAGCTTCCACCATTGCCAGCAACTGTAAATTTCTTGGATGGTGTCACAGATAGATGCTAAAAATCTGGCATTAAATGCACTTGCGTTTCAACAACATTGTACATGAATCCTTTTTAGGAAATATGTCTTGCAAAAGAGCTCCTGGAACGCCTATTCTCTTGGTTGCTGTGAGGTCACAAAGGAAGAACATTGCTGAGTCTTAGAAGGATTCTGGTTAGTGAAAGTGAATCAGGGAAAGACAGCCAGGAGAAGACAGATGTTCGCCCTGGGCTTAGAGCAGAGTTCACACCATAGTCTTCCTGTGTGCTTCCCGACATCTCTGCATCCTTCATCAATCAGAGGAAAATTTCACTATTGCCAGTGCGAAAGAGGGTTTTTAAGAGGCTTAAATTTACCACAGCAATTCTCAACACATCATTCACTGGCCTTAGAATTTCCAGAAATTCAGAGATTCCATTGTCAATATTATCCTCTTATGATCTGGCTGGCTTGCTCTGGGGCATCAAAAGAGAAGCTCATTGTATTTTAAGGATAAAGAGGGTTTCTCTTAGAATAGGACAGAGGATAGTTTGGTTTTTTGTTTGTTTGTTTGTTTGTTTTTTTCTTTGCACAAGATATTTATATGAAATAATTTGGATAAGCCTGAATGATAAGAATGACAAAAACATAGGTGATAGTAAAATGTGCATTCATTTTGGAGTAGAGGGTCCTGATTTTGTGGCTTGATGAGGTGGCTGATGACTGTGAAGCCACATGTCAGTCATCCCTGCTGGAGGACTCCTGGTGCCCCAGCTCCCAGAGCACGGAGGTATAAGGGTCAGAACGTAAAAGCTTTGCCTCTCTGTATTGGAGGAGAGACCTGAGTACAATTCCACAACCATTGGAGTGATTAAACATTTCTTCATGAGGTGTAGCCTCATAATAGATATTTAGCAATAATTCCAAAATATTCCTTTATTTGTGCCCTGGATTCTTCTGTATCCAACACTGTAAGAATATTAAACTATTAATTTTCTCAGCTCCCTTGTAGTCCCAATCCTTTCCTCTGACTTCCCCATTCTTATCTTAATTTAAATACACTTATGGAACTATCAATGTAAACCAAAAAGTATTTAAAAGATCCTTCTGGATTCCACTACTCTGCCTCTAATTCATTTCTTATCTCTGGAAAATGTTCCTTGCTCACATTTTTTTTCAAACTCTTGTTATTTTCAAGAGAAAATCAGATTAGCTCTTCAAGAGTCCACTCTTTCTTCATAAATTTTACACCTGTGTTTTTCAGCATAGTTGAGATGGTTTTTTTTTTGGCTGTTTTAATTCAATTCTTAAGTACTTCTGTCTTTGCTCTTTCAAAATTTGAGTTTGTATGATGTGACTCTATAAATGTTGTTTCCTAAAAAAAAAAAAAAAAAAAAAAAAAAAAAACCTTTGAAGTTAGTAAATAACTTTCCCATTAAGGGCATTTATTAGATTCTGCCCCACTGTTAAACTGGGAGCCATGCATTCCAGTTATTTTTATATGTCTAGATCCAGTGTCACTTTCTTTCAGGTACACATCCCTGTATTCAAATTTTTTAATTCAATTTTATTACCTCTGTGATTCAACTCAACATGGGGACTTTCAGTTTACAGAGGGCAACCCATGTATTTTTAATCAATAGTTATCACCAATTATTACCCCAGGGCCACACAAAAGGTAACGTCAACATCTATTGAACAGCTTGATTTACTTCATCTGAATTTAAATGGTAGCTGAGAACTCACCAGTTTAGGATACTGTGCCTAATACCAGAAATAAAAATAGAGACACTCCATGACTGTAAAGTGTGAGTCACTCACATGACTCCAGAAGGGAACCTGAATCCCATTACTGCGGAGTTCCACCCTTGCTGGATCTGCTATACTTCAGCTGCATACTAATTTTAAACCGGATACTTAGGTAAAAATAGAAACACAGAGACAAACACAAGAACAATTGGATAGTGACTGCTTGAAATGTACCAAATGGATGCTAAGAAAAATATTTTGACACTGAAAAAAGTTTGTCTTTTCGAGCAAAATACAATATGTTGTCTCTTCTTTTATTGTCTTATAACCTTTATCTTCTTCTTATGTAATAGGAACAACTGCACTTTATTTATTTCTTCTTATGCACCCTTCCATCATCAGCAATTTTCCCAGCCCCAAAACATTTGAAGAAGTTCAATTCTTTAACGGCAACAACTATCACAAAGGAATTGACTGGTAAGAAAAATAACAGAAAACAAACTCCATTATTAGCACGTGCTCTACCACTGCTCAGCAATTATAGATGTATGCAGGCATCTGCATAATTATAGTATAAATTTGTTATGCTCAACTCTACTACAGTGAATTAGAAATTAATTTATAATGATGATATGTTTAATCAGTGTTGCCTATAATTTGATTTGGATAGTGCAATAATGATAATGTTTTTCTGGTAAGTTAATATGATTGAATAAAGAACATTATGGGATGTTTTTCATCAGAATTATTTATAAGAATATTTAAAATTCACCTTAAACACACTATTATTTTTCAGTGCCTAATTTTTTTATTAAACACATAATTTGCCTTCACAACGGTGTTTGAAGAAACAAATAAATCAGTACAGAGCCTATTTTACACTGTGCGACATGTATCTTCATTAACAACACAAACAGTGCACCGTGCTACAGTGTAGGCTGATATTTGTCATGCAAATAATAGCAGAGCCTTTCCAAAACCAATTCAATTCTGGTCACATGCATGCAGGGAAGAAATATGAAATAACACTTGAATAATTATGAAAAATTTGAAGTCAGAATATGTTCTATAAGTCAAAAGTGAATAAAGTTTATGTTGCATATGATCCTTACTCAGGTGATTTTTTCCTAGTTATTTTTCAGTTTTCCAAGAAAATATGATCCTGATTTTAATAACCAATTCCCAAGTATATAAAATAAATCTCATATAAGGAAAAGTTTCTCAATATCCACATTTGTGGTACCTTTGTGTGTCACCATCACATGCATCTGTTTTCCACAAAAGACCCATTCTTTTCTGATGTAGTTAGCAGGAGGGTCAGGTAAGGGCAATTCCAGTAAAAAGGTCTGGCTCCCTGTCATGAGTAGAGATGTATCTACTCTACGTCTACCGTAGTAATTCCCTACTGTACTCTCAAAAGTCTAAAGAAGTTTTGGAATCTCACACAAGCTATCACAGACAGAACAGCAATTTTCTCTATCTGTGAGCTCAAATGGAACACAGATTGTTAAGCAGGAATATAGATGAGATTCTTCAGCACTCTACATTTGGGAAACATAATAACAAATGTCAAAGAGGAAAATAAGAGTCTTATATGAATTCTTAATTGCTCTCATTATTTATTTCTAGAACATTTGAGGGTTAGAGAAGTGATGAGCTGTAAGGAGAGTTACACACATAATTAAAGCCTTGTACCGAATTAACCTCAGAACATATTGATTCCACAATCTACATGCAGCGGAACACTCCGACAGCATATGGAGGAGTGAACCTACGGAGGCACCGCAGGATCAACTGGCAGGAAATATCCGCTTAATTACTCTAGATAGACTATAATGTGCTCACATTGCTGCGTGTGCCACAAATTACACAGAAGTCAAAAAGGAGAACAGCTATTGCTTAATCTATTTAGTATTTTATAGCTAGTTTGACTTACATGTTTGTCTTGTGAACTTTAATCTCACCTTAAGAATTTCTGCATTCAAATTTGCAAACATACTTCATTTTTGAAATAATCAGTGAAGCAAGATGTTGTAATTTATGTTTGCCAGGAGTAAGCAATATTTCTGAACTTGACTTTCAGTGGCACAGAATATCAGTTCAAATCTACAGTATTTTCTGTTTGTTCTTTTTCATTTCATTTATCCTGTCTCATTCCTTTCTCTACCCAGAATGAGCTATTGAGCAATAATATTTTGGGTTGTTATCACACTTAAAGTATACCGAATATCCACTTTTTAAACTGCTTTTAGCAGGATAATTACAAACTGGTATAAATGAATGTGAAAATATTTAAAGTACTTTTTATTCAGAAAATGATGGAAAAAAATCTCAAGTTAATTATCTCCCTCTGCCTTCAGGTATATGGATTTTTTCCCCACTCCATCTAACATTACAAATGACTTTCTGTTCGAGAAGAGTGCTAATTACTTCCATTCAGAAGATGCCCCCAAGCGAGCTGCATCTCTTGTCCCCAAAGCCAAGATCATCACCATCCTCATCGACCCCTCAGACAGAGCATATTCATGGTACCAGGTACGAACAAAGGCAAATACTGCTATTAGTTTTCGCTTGAATGTAGGTGATGGTGAACCACCAAAATAAAGCCGAGACACATTGAAGGGTCAGGAGTAAAAGTACACAAACTAAATCAAAACGTACATAAGAAAAACTAAATATTTAACTCATATCACATTGAACAAGGACTTCCAGCCATAAAACAGAAAAAAACATGCATCAAGGAATTAATAGATTGTATCAGCAATTATAAAATATTGGCATACAAAAATTTAACAAAATTAAAAGCCAACATCTAAGGATCTCCTATAAATGATGCTTTAAAAACACAAGGTAAATGAATTCATGCCATTGGCTTATAACATATGCCTTAAAATTCGTAAATAAATAATAGACTCAGCTAATAAATGGGAAAAATGGGAAAAAAGGCACAAATAGAAAAATCATACAAACAAAAATCAACAGTTCAACAACTATGTGAAAGATTACCATACCAATTAGGTGTTTACAAAATATAAATTGCTGTTAATATTTTGGCAAAATTTGTGACGTTTTTCTCCGCTGGCCACAATATGTGGGGAGAGGATCTGGTGCGTTCCAATAAAAGGATACATTTTGCAATATTTTCTGAAAGCTGTTCGATGACAGGCAAAGTAGCAGGAAGTATAGTAAGTGGTACTGAAGATTCTGTGAACCACGATTCCATTTTTGGAGTTGATCATATGGAAAATTTCAAAGGAAAGGACAAATATTTATGCTTATTCCAGCATTAACTATAAAAACAATAACATAAGGAAGTATAAATGTCCAACGATTTAGATATGTGCCAGACTGGAATGCAATACTGTGCAGCTACATTTAATTATAGTTTTAGTCAATAAAATGAAAATTAAAGAGTGTGCTTATTCTCCTCCATGGATAGATATAAATCATAAAGATAATTAGATATTGTACATGTGCTGTGAAGAGATATTTCAGTGCTGTTGTAATTTCTTCTGGAAGAAAAATGTAGGCTTCCAACTGAAGGAAGGACAGAAATCAATCGTGTTGATTGGTCCTGGACCATCAGGGCTGCAACCAAGGGGCTACCAGATTCATTGTTTTGAGTAAATGTCGGCGGAACATAATAAATACGTGCATTGTAGGTGGTTGGTACATGTACCTGATACAACTTCATTCTTCACACGTGATTCTTAATTTCTTTTGCTCTCCCCTTCCCCTCCATCTGTCAACTTCCATTTTGCAAAAGGTCTGTCTTTCTATTTCCCATTATCTTCCATTTTGCTCTTTAATTCATTTATGCTTTGAGTTTCTCATACAAGAGAAACCACACTATATTCAAATTTATGTGTCTAACTTTTTTGCACTTAATGAACTCAAGGTCTATCCATTCTCCTATAAATAAATCAAATTTATTCTTCTTTGTAGCAGAATAGTGCTTTGTTGTATATAAAACACATTTTCTTTATCCATTCATCTGCTGATATAGGCTGATTTCAGAATTTAGATATTATGAATTGTGTTGATATAAACACAGGTGTGCATGGATCATTCCATAGTAAAATATAAGTATCAGAATACTTTTTAAATTAGTAATATGCTTATGTATGTAAGCATTAAATGACAAGTTCTAAAGACAAGTCTTATACTATTAGAATTTTAACATCTTTATAAATCTGAAACCCCATGATGTGATATAAAAATAACTAATTTGTAATGACGACAGAACCACAGCTACGGAAGTTGTCCACATACACAGTTAAAGAAAAACCTCCATTTGGAGGATACTGAACATAAAGAGGTCACCTTTTGTCGATCCACATTCATAGATTACCCTAAACCCTATTAGTGAGTATCTGTCTACGAAGCCCTGGATTGAAATTTGAGGCATAGAAGACTGGATTGATATAAGTGTAGGAAATTTAAAAGGCTTGACATAGAGAAATTGAAGTGACAGTGGTCTGTCCTGGGCGATGTCTAGAATGAGTTAACCTGATGAAAAGAGGGCAATTGTCTAGGGAAGTAGCATTTTAAAAAGAGAAAAGGAGATAAATAAAATGAGTAGGATGAAAGCGACCACAGAAATGCAAAATTGACTATAACAGTGATAACTCGCTGGCCAGGGTGGTGCACACCTGCAATGCCATACTAAGCAGGCTGAGGCAGGAGGGTGGCTGCAAGTTTGAGATCTACCTGGGCTGCAAAGTGAGTTCAAGGACAGCTGGAACTGCATAATGAAACCCTGTCTCAAAAATACAGAAACAAAAACAAAAGCCAATCAGTGATATCCTTAGTGAACGTGGATTATGGTGCGAATAGTATATATGTACAAAAATCCCAAATGTGTAAGTGCATTTTGTATATGTATGCTTAATGCGTATGAAAATCAATGGCAAAGTAAAAAAGACTAAAAGGAAATTTTAGAAATGTGAAGCAAATTTTTTTTAATTTGTCTTATTTTTTTCACAGTTCAAAATTTCTTCAATAAATATTTGTTACTGATTGATAAAAACTATGACATTACAACTTGGGAAAAGTAGTTGGGGATTCCAGTGAAACATTTAGATTGCTGATGTGTGAATCCAACAGTTGTATCAGATGCATGAATCTTCCCCATAAAAGACAAAAGATACATCTTTCTCACGTCATAAAAAATCACACTGCAAAGCAACATAAATTTATTTTTAAAAGATACCAAAAGCATTACAATGTTAAGTCTTAATTAAAAGCTTTGAATTCAAATATTTGGGGTAATATTAAAGAATTTCCTAGCAGAAAGCATTGTCACTAATGTGGATTAAAATGAATCTGATTTTCACAGAGATCATTTAAATAAAATAGAATCTATATTATGTGAGTGCTTCTCTGTGCCTGACTTTTCAAATGAATTCTTTGAAAATACAGGTTTGAAAGGAATTATTTTTTCTGATAATACTTTTTATTGCCATATTGCTGAGAATAGAGCCCCAAAGTGCTCCACATTTCCAAATGCAAGCTATTACTTAGCTAGTCCTGTCTACTCAGTAAATACCATAAATCCAAAGCTCAGCAGGTGTAATTCAGAAACTCCCACGAATGTCACCTGCCACTGTAATTTCTACCCCACATTCTTATAATGGACCTCACCAAGGAACTAAAGTGCTATTTTTTCCTATAAAATATGTCCCTTTGTGACTTCCTGACCATATTTTTATGCTAATCTTCTTAGATTCAGGAAAATAAAGAAAAGTTGGTACTAAACTGATATAAGTCACTGTAGAACAGATTAACTACAGTTCCATATTTTCACTGCTTATAATAAAAATTTCACATTATTTATACTGCATGCACATAGCATGGTTATAATTCTTATTTAAATTATGTAAGTTCTATGCATTTTATTAAATGAATTATGTATTGGTATATATTCGATGTAATTCAGAAGATTATATAATTTGTAATGTGCATCAGAGTCAATAAATGTACACTAATAAGACTTTTTATTGTTCCGATCAATCTGCCACTCTTTAATCATTCACCACTGCTTGAATCATCATTTTTTCTTTATGTTGCTTCTGGCGACCTTACTCTGCCTAAGATTATACAATAGGGTCAGATTGCAGTGTATTTCCATCCTTATTTTGCACTGAAATTTCTTCTCTCTTTTAGATATCACAGACAACAAATTAATTTGTCCACAACATTTCATCCATCCTCACTCAGAGGTGGTTTTTGTTTGTTTTTTTGTTTTCTGTGGTACCAGGGCACGAACTCATGACCTTATGCCTGCCAGGCAGGCACTTACACCACTGAGCTAAATCCCCTACTCCTCAGAGGTTTTCTTAAGCTCCATATTTGTTTACACTTTTTGAATTATCAAAATCTTTCTCATTACATTGTAGCTCAGCAACTTTGTCCATTAAAAAGTCCTTTCATGTGTCACTCAGAACAAGTCTTTCATTGACATGCTTACCGTAAACTGAAAACTCACGCTTCTACTCAGATATATGAATTTATTACAATCTATTACTTTGGCCTCTTCAACAGTAGATTAGATTTCCTTGAAAACATGGAGTGTGCCTTACTTATACCTTTTTATCTCTAACATCTATTGCTGTTCTTTGTTCTGGAAAGATGCCTAATAAATGCTTGTGATGCTTCACTAATGCGGAATTCATCTCTCGTCGAGTTGGGTTCTCTCCTGTTTCCCCTGTGATGATTTGGTATGAAAAACTCAGAATTGGTAGTGGAATTAGGAATAAAGCCATATTTTGGAATTAGCAGTACTAGTTTGAAAGCAGAAGGACCCTGTGCAACAGCAACATGAACATGACAGCTAAACAAGCATTAGGAAAGACATCTGCTTTCGTGTACCTGGAGCACCTGTTACAGAAGTGTCAGAACCTTGTAGAAGATATGATAAAACAATAGTCTAAACCCACTCCTGCCCATCTAAATCTCTTTTCATCCAGCTTGATTTGTCTGCTCCTTGACCTTGTTTCATTGCTAAACAGACACATGAAGAATGTCCCTGCATTCTTCCATGCTTTAAACCTAAGCATTTAAGCCATAAATATAATCATGATCTTCTCCTCATCTCCCTTGATATGTGCAGAATGCTTTCAAATATTTAAAGCAATGTGCCAATCAATGATCATTTTTAAACACAGGCAGTTTTTACCAGATGCTTTATTATCTCTTTAAATCAATTAATTTTTATTATTTTGTGAAATAGAGTCATATCTCTACACACATTTTTTAAAAATAGCTTTACAGTTGACACTTTTGTCTGCAGCACCAGAGATCCCATGAAGACCCAGCTGCCTTGAGGTTTAATTTTTACGAAGTTATTACAACGGGACATTGGGCCCCATCTGACTTAAAAGCCTTGCAGAGGAGATGCCTTGTCCCAGGATGGTATGCAGTCCACATTGAAAGATGGTTGACCTACTTTGCTACTTCTCAGGTAATACCCTACAAATTAATATTCACTATTTATGACATCATGATTGTGTTGCACTGACAGATACAAACTGCAAATCAAAATTTCCACAGAGAGCAATTTATCATCAGAGACAATGATAGTGAAAGAAGAAATGTGAATTTTTACGTTTTTAATTTGACTTATTATTTTATCATAGAGCCTTCACTCTCCATTACATCCCCATCCCTTTTTATTTTTTATTTTGAGAGAGGGTCTTACTAAAGTCACTGACTGCCTAGGCTGGGTTCAAGCTTGAAATCCTTCTACTTCAGTATTCCAGAGTGTTGAGATTACGGGTGTGCACTACCTTGCCTGTTTTAATTTCATTACTAATAAAGTTTTGCTAAATGGCTCTAAAACACTTGATATCTTCACTTAATACCTCTAAATGAAACCTTTTCCAAAAAGAGATGTCACATGCCTTTCAGGCAGCAATTCACAATGACTAGTAGAACAGTTCCTTAGACAAAGTTTGCAGAACTCGGTGTGCAGATTCTGTCTTGTGGCACCTTGCTAAGGGTGGAAGGAGCTTGCACAATACTCTTCCATGTTGGGGTGAGCAGTAACAGCTCCAGGAATGTGGGATAGAACCAGAAAAAATCAAGCAACGATTTCAGGAAAGGTAAGTGCCCCGTATCACTCAGGGGACAGTTAACTTCTCAGACAAGTGGTCTTCCGCACTGACTTTTTTTTAAACGTCCTTCAGGCAAATCTGATATTCTAGGGTAGTGAACCAAGGTCATAAATCCGGCACCAACATTTTCCACTATGCTCTGTCATAGTCTGGAGGCACAGATGGGAAATCATCTGAATGACCATTATTTTAAGCCCATGACTCCAAAGTTAGCTCATGGCATCGTAGATTGGCAAGTTATCTAATTGCCCTACAGATGGAAAAATCCAGGGAGTGTTCATCTTTATTTCTGATTTAGAGCAAAGGAAGTTAGAGGCTTTAACTTAATAATTCACACAGACACATAAAGCAATTGCCAATGGCAAACTTTAATTATTGTTAATGTGGAAGGATGGAAGAATCATAAACAACTAACTGTATTCTAAATAGTGCGTGTTTCCTTCCTGTTCAGACTGACCTAATTTAATACCATACCAGGTCAAAGGAGGCAGCTCAGTCAACTCAGTTTAGTTTGTTCTTCATAAGGTGACTATTTTTGACTTTGCAGTTGCTAATTATTGATGGACAGCAGCTGAGATCTGACCCAGCTACTGTGATGGATGAAGTCCAGAAGTTTCTGGGAGTTACACCTCATTATAATTACTCCGAAGCACTAACGTGAGTCTATTCTCATGCTTGATTTCATTTCAATTATTTGCCATCATAAATTATCACTTGTAGGTGTGTGTATAATGTCATTAATATTAGCTATGAATTTATACATCATTTTGCTACTCAAAAGCAATCAAAGAAATATCATTATTCATGTACTGTCACCTTGTAAGTACCAGGAATGTTTCATCTTCATAAAACATCATAGGTATTTTCTCTTAGGATAAGTTCTCTACTTATCAGCTTTTTCCTAGTATCAGTTTGGTTAACTAAACTTTCTATATAACTTCTTGTGCAGAAAGTGTCCTAGAAATTGAAGTTACAAAGCTGAAAACTCTATAGTCTCTTCTGAGTAATCTATAACTTAGAAATTAAGTACCAGTGACTTCCATTTCCTCTGAAAGTAATCAGTTTTTAGGATAGAATTAGGAAAGAAGTACATGCATAACTTAGTCTATATTTATTAAATTATTTATAATCAAATGTAATCACCTATAAAGGTCGAGTTTTCTACTTTTACATGCTTTTCATATGCCAAACATTTTGGCATATGATAACCACCATTTTGTTGTGTTCCTGCATTCTGTGGGTCAGAAATTAGGATACAGCCAGGATGGGCTTGCCTCTGCTCATGATATCCGAGCTGGGAAGACTTGAATCTCTGAGTATTATTTAAATGGCTGCTGAATGAAATCATCTGGAAACTTCTTCACTTAGATAACCAGATCCTGAATCAAAGGACGGCCCCTGTAGCCTCTGCCATGTGATACTAGGTTTTCTCACAGTGCAGCAGCTATGTTTCAAAAGAGAGCCCTGTGTGTCAAGGGAGCCTTTGGTCCCAGAAAGTCTTTGCCTTAGACTTGCAAGTCACAAGGCTTTGTTTTCACTGCCTTCTGTTGGTCACAGAGGTCACGAAAGCCAGTCCAAATCCAAGGCAGGAAATGAGACTGTATCTCTTGATGTGGGGCAAAGTCATCCTACATAACAGCATGAAGGATAGGAGATACTGTAACAGTCATCCTGGGGCAATAAAACCATACATCCAAACAATTAAAAATGAGGGGAAAAGTAAAGAAGCAAAATAACCGAAAATAAAGCCTGCAAGCAGCCAAAGCAAACTTCAAAACGGCATATGCTTTTCTCACACAAGACTGTCCTACAAGGTCTTGTTTAAAGCCTATTAAATTTCAGACAAAATTATAACAAGCCTGGTTATGTAATTTCCCAGTTCACAGCAGATTAGACTCAGCAATTAGACAATTAGAGAGGGTAATGGAGGAACAGGAAAAGCAGTAATAAGTTTGGGTTGTTCCTTATCCACTAAAACAACCTTAATGAAGTTTTTAACTTCACATGGAAATAACAACAACACAGGACATGCCCCTGTTGGCTAAGTAGTCAAAGCTTCCTATAATGTATCTTGCATTAATAGTTTTATTTGCCATAGCTTCCCCTGACTCTCAGCTCTAGTTTAGATAATTGTTCTGTCCTGTTTATTACAAATAGTTGTTCATGGCTCAATAAACCCGTAAAAGCATACTTTTGAAGGAGAGAGTACAAACAAGTACAAATACATGGATTTTAATACATCTCACATGTCACAAAATTAATAACCATATTGATGTTAGGTGTAATAAAAGTTAAATACCAACCAACTTATGCCTTTACCTGTTATTTGAAAACAGCTTTGTGCCTTAATTCACAGTTTCATGCATACTAAACTAAAATCATAAAACAAGGAATCTGTATAGGTTGGAGAAGACAAATACCTTTTGTTAGATTTAAGGTATATAAAATCATCAATGCATTAAACCAAGGCAGGGCAGCAAAATAATGTGGATTCAGGGTTATCACATCCCTATCTTTAACAATGAATCTCAGTATTCTAAATGCCTCCCGTTCCTATGGTTATAAGAAGTTCTGCCTCATAAAAATTGCTGTGGAGAGTTAGGGGAGCCTGCAGTCCACCCCGCGACCTGCACACTACCTAAGAGCAGCAGAAGAGTTGCTCTCACAGTGTGGATAAACGTCGTGGTTTTGTAGCCAGTGCTGTATTTCACCTTAATGCAGTTAAATATTCTCATTCTGAGGCCGAAAATACTGTTTAGGGGCACCGTTATGCTGACTTCCCATCTCATTTCGCACAGCATGCTGAATTGTTTTTTTCCTCTTGGGAAATTAGTGGAAACTAAAGAAAGGACTGTGAGAGGCAAGGAGGAGATTGAAAAGTCCAGGGTGGAAATGACTCTGTCTTCCTCTTATCTGTTTAAGTAGTGATGTATTTAATTTTAATTGGTAACATGTACTAGGACAACTTGGACTGCCAGGATCAGTCTCTAATAACAGCCTGGGCAAGGAACTGTGAAGGAAATTTCCCTCTCCCCCTAAATGAGTCCACATATGTGCAGAGGCAAACTGCAGGTGCACCAGTATTACAGGAATGGGCCCAGGGCAACAAAATATCCTGCAACTAATTAACTTTACATCCCAGTCAATTACGCTTCATCCTTCTAAAACATCTGCTGAGCAACAAAAACGCAAACCTTTCAATGTTTTATGCATACAGCAAGTCTCACAGCAATAAATTTAGCATTTCCCTTCTTATTTCATTCATTCTTTCATTTTTCCTCTCTTGTTAGTCCCAAACAAGAGTTCATATTTTTTTTTTTACTTTAAATAATTAGGCCATACATCCTTTTTTTTTGTAACTAAGTACAGCTAATGGAGAAAAACAACATTAGAATTTTCCTTAAGACCACAGGGATCTAAATCATCCGATAGGATTATCTGGCTTCAACAAAAGAAAGGAAGATTCTCTAATCCTCGATTCATCATTTGTGTTGCTGGGTCTCCTATTGTCTGTAATCAACATAATAAATTATTCTTTTACACTTTTAACTTCTTTTTTGAGAAATGTAATTTTTTTTCTTTTTAATTTTTTTGAGACAGTATTGCTATGCTGTTCAGCGTGGGCTTCAATTTCCTAGGTAGCCCAGAATGGTCTCACACTCACAGTGACCTTCCTGCCTCAGCTTTCTGAGTGCTAGGATTATAATCATGTGCCCCTTCCTGGCAACATTTTGAATGTAAAATGAATACAATAATTTCTCAAAGTAGAAGGCTTAATTATTTTCATTTCAGAAGAGTGTACCCACATTACATTTGACCACTTTAATGAATAATTTCAAAGGAATCTATTAAGAAATCATACCTACGAAAAATCTAAATGTTCTAAAAGTCCTGTATTTATTGTATGTTTGTCCTGTGTTTATGGATTCCTAAGTAAAATATGAAGCTTAAATTAGTACTTTCAATCTAAAAATTGGGCTGAAGACCTAGCAAATTAGCATAGAACTACTTAAAAATATACAATAGCAGATAGTTTCTTCAATCTCAATTAGCCTTTCTAAAATCATCTGACTACCTCTAGAAATAAATAACTCAAACAATGAACCTACAAAAGTGTATTTTCTTTATCCATTTAGGTTTATTACCAAAACTTCTATATATAATTTATAATTATAATTCTATATATTATTTATAATTATAATTTTAAAACTTGTATATATAATCTATATATCACTTATAAGTATATGTTTTATCAATTATAGATTTGATCCCCAAAAGGGCTTTTGGTGTCAGTTACTGGAAGGAGGAAAGACAAAATGCCTCGGAAGAAGCAAAGGCCGAAAATACCCACCCATGGATCCGGAGGTATTATTTTCCTAATCTGAATCTCTCTGACAAAAATCTGTGCACATATCTATTTTAAAACTTTTAACAGAAAGTTGCTTCTTTTTTCTGCTTTTCCTTAGCAATCAGTAGTTAATGCATCTAGAAGATGACAGAAATAGATAAAGGATTGTTATATATTCCTTGAAATGTTTTCCTCTTGGAATGTAAATCAAATATAAATATTTACCTAAAGCAACTCTTTTGCAAATATGCAAATCACTTAAGATGTTTAGCAAAAAATGTGATTGGGGATAAAATACTCATGCACAATTATTATATGTTCAACAAACGAGTCCAGTGCTTACATAATGTATGATACAGATTGAAATAATGGATGATACAAGAAACAGTTATGAGAGTAGACTTACTATGCAGTGGATAAATTGATTATGGTCAACAATTTATAATGGGATACATAAAACTCAACTAAAACATGCAAAAAAAAAAGTCTTAGTAGAAGGGAAGATACGTAAAGAAAATGTGTTACTGTGAGTCTGGGATGGGGAACCCAGCAAGCCTCCAACTCTGCCAGACATCAGGAGTATCTCTCCTGAAGCAAGGTGAGCAAAATGAAGAGCTTAGCGGCTCCTCTGTTACTATGGTGATATGAGTGATATGAGTACCAGAAGGTCCTTAAAGTACAACTTTGAACTCAATAATTTCAAAAGGGCTTCAGAAATCACTTTAATCTGCAAAAATAAAAACAAAAAAACCTTGTCCTTCCCCCCTACTACTGTAAGTATTTTATTCCAAATTTGAAGCATCTACAATCTGGTTTAAGGAAAAAAAACATAATGAGATGCCCAAAAACTGGTCAGTGGTGAAATCTGCTTACCTTACATCAGTTCTCATAATGTACACAAAAGTCGCTAGGGGAGTTTTATGAGGAGATCCATTTGTGTTAAAATATCAGAGAGGGCTTAAGGGAAGATGGATGAATAAAGTATTGGGGGCCATTGCTACTTATACTTACAGGGAGAAAGGGTTCATCTCCACTATTTGACCAGAGACAGGACTACATTCACTAGGATAAAATATGAATAAGGAAGAAAAGATCCTTTTTTTTCCTTTCTGTCTTCCAGAAATCTGTATAAATAAATGTCAGATATGAAATTAAAACCATTGTTATATTTTATAATTTTGAAATCATTTACTAGTAACAGTCAGTCTCTGAAATTTGACCGAGATAATAGAATTACAAAAAAAAAAAAAATCTAATCTTCAGGGATCTTGTAATATTTTTGGAAACAGAAAACTCTTAGGGAAAACCTGAATCTATTTTTATTTACCAGCTACACTTGTGCCAAAGTTTTCAAATGGTAAGAAATAAGCAGTAGTTAGGGCCAGGGGTTTAGTTTAGCAGCATAAGTCCCTATTTTGGCAAATACAAAGTCATGAGTTCGATCCCTGGTACAAGAAAAAAAAAAAAAAAAAACACGTTAAAAACTAAGGAATATTTTATAGACACCGACATTGTAATACAGTTTCTTAATTAATGTAGATTACACAATTGTGTCTGATGAACTAATAATTTCTTTTAAACTATTTTATCCTTTCATTTTGCAGTCCAGAAGTTTCCTCTCTAACTACTACCGAGACCACAATGTGGAGCTGTCCAAACTGCTGCACAGGCTGGGGCAGCCCCTGCCGTCCTGGCTGAGACAGGAGCTGCAAAAAGTGAGGTAGCAGAGACCAAATCCTGCCTCTGGAGACGCTCGCTTTACCCTTGAGTGAGAAAAAGCAAGCCCACAACTTCACCCCTTAATGCACTTGTGATTGTCCACAGAGGACTGTCAGAATAAACTTCCTTCAATCTTTTTCATAAAATGAAAGCTGTTATATATGCACGCACTGGCAATTATTAGCATCAATCCTTATGTAAGCTTTTCAGAAAAAATAAACTGTGGGGTTTTGTGGCATTATCCAGTTTCTAGTGTGGGGATTATCGTACAGCTCAACTCCTCTGTTAACCAGAAGGTTTTAGAAAATCAGTGTATGACTAATAATGCTGATGATATGCAAATGACCAATTAAAATTTTGAGAAAAAGATAAGGACTGAAGTGTATGCAAATGAGGTTAGTAGTAACTTAATATCTGAATTAAGGGCTAACATGTTCCCCTGGATAATTTAAAAACAATGTTGCTTTTTTAAGGAGAGAAATCATATAATTTCATATTGTTAGTTTTGAATAATTATTTATTTTATTTAGCCCACATATATTTTCCTATTGTTACACCCCCATACCAATGTTTTCGACTTGTTAAGAAGTTGCAGAGTTGTAGCCTATATGGTCTTTATCTGTTTTCCTCTTGTATAAGAGGAAATATTATTGATTCATATTTACTACTTCATTAACATTACTGTTTCATCTGACTGGGTTAGAATTCTCAATGAATCTGGCATTGTGATTCCAATAAAATCTGTTAAAGAGTTTTGGGGGACAGGAGAGGTCAAATCAGCATAATATCACCGTCATGTATAAAATGGCCTTTAAATAGGTCCAGGATCTTACTATACTGTTAATCTAGATATTCCACCTCCACCAATATAATATTGGTATACTTTTTCACTATCCAAGCTAGAAATGAAAAACTGTATTGATACGATATCGAATGAAGACACCAAGATATGTTTGCTGGTCTACTGATGCATTGCCTTTAGTGTAGTAGAGGTCAACCTTTTCAAAGCATGGACTTTTTTACTTATGTACTAATATATCTATAACTATAGATGATTATGTTTTTAATGACAGTTTTGAAAGAGACATATAATCTAAATCTTACCTCTTTAAACATCACTGCAATTCCTTACTCATGTCACCCAAAAATTAATTTCTAGAGAAGTGACATTCTTTCGGCTTAGAGTTATAGGTTCCTGTCCCATTTGGAGATTGTTGTCATGTTAATTGGGTCTCTATCTCATTTGTCAATGATGATATATTAAGGCTTTATTAAGCTTTTCAGCAATACATGAAGGCCCAATTTCAATGGAACAGTCAATCAAACGGACTGTGGCAACATTAGCTAACAATTCATCTTTCCTCCAGAGTAATTTTCTATAGGCTGCAAATAAAATGATTTTTCCAGTAATTTGAGAAATTATGTTTGCAATAATTCACCATCAAGTTTAAGGCTTTTGTTTCTCTTTCTTTCATTTTTGTTGCTTTAGGCAAGCAAATCACATGTGAATATTTTAAAGGAGAATCAAGGTTTTTACATTTTAAATTTGAAAATCCATCGTTGAATTTGCACTACATTATAATGTTTATTTTTCTAAAATTATTTTCTCAGTAAATCCAGAAGCTGTTGTATTTTTGAGGATATAATATTTTTATTGGGACTCAATATAATTCACAGTTACAGTCATTCTTTGTTACAGTGATTCTTCTTTAACTTGGGGATGAAATTGTCAGGGTTGTGACTTAGGTCTGCGTTTGATGCCAGCGTTTCGGGGACCATAATAAATATGATGGAAATTTTATTTTTAGGGTTCTAACCTTCAGCTCACTTGTTTATTGGCTTCCTCTAGTTTTTATTTTTTTTTTTGTTTCTTTAAATGAAGATTAACATTTTTGTCCAAGTGAGAGAATATAAATATATAGAGAATGTAGAGGAGGTACTATTCAGATCTGCTAAAGCTAACATGTCAAGCTTCTTCAACATATCATCATATTCTTAAAAATATAACTCATTTTCTGCATGTTCTCATTTTCTTTCTAGAGTGTCACTGATCAATCTATAAACATCTGACAGTAAACTTTCACTAAACTGCTCTCCTCTCCCCTAGTTACTTCAATCATCATATCTATTTTTCTTATTAGAGTTTAATAATGGAGACAAAACTATTTTAACTACATAACTTAAATTCACCATACAAAAAAACAATTTGAAGAGTCCTTGGACTATGAGACTCTGCACTATAGTAAGTCAGAAAACTGAGTTTTAAAAGTGTCTTGCGCCCGTTGCAGCAGCACGCACCTGGAGTGCAGTGACTCAGGAGACTAAGGCAGGAGGATCTCGTGAGTTCATGAGTTGAGACCAGGCCAGCCTGGTAACAAAGAAAACCTTGTTTGGGAAAAAACTAAAAACAAACAAACAAACAACAATAACAAAAACTAACCTTGGTGGTACACGCCTGTAATCCCAGCTACTCTGGAAATGAATTGCAACATTTCAAATCTGTAAATGGCTTGGGCCATTTTGCAAGATCTTATCTAGCTATTATTTATTTATTAAATATATATAGATTTATTTTAAAAATAAACAAATAAATAAAAGGGACATAGCTAAATGACAGGGACATAGCTAAATGACTGAGGCCATCCCCAGTATTTACAAAACAAAACAGAGGAAGGAGGAAGAGGGTCTGGGAAGAAGGAGAAAAGGAAGAAGAATATTTAACCCATTTTAGAATAGTTGACTCAAATTAATATGCATAATTAATCAAATTTTTAAATTAATTCTCTCCTATGGTCTAAAAAGATGTAACTTTAAAATTTTGCAATACTTCTCAGGTCCTTTAAAGGAATACTTTTTGTCTTCTGTCCTTATTTTCTTTGCCTTCATTTCTCAACTCAAAAATAATTATTAATTACTCCACTTTGATAAAGGCTAGAACAGTATTTGAGTATGTCTTCGTCAAAATATCATATATACTTATCAAAATGAGTTCCTGAAATTTATGCATGAAATTTCATCCAAATTAAAATCATAATTAAAATTTCATTGCATTCACATTGATCCAAAGAGAATGAAATATACAAAAAGGAAAAGTACTAGTTAGGAAACTTTAAATTTTTATATTACTGTAATTTTTCTAAAAAATACAGCTTTTAGTCTAATAAAATAATTTTATTTGAATTTTAGTAAACCCATCTTGCATACCTTTTTCTCTGTCTCACTGTTTTATGTAAAGGAACATATTTATTATGACAATTGATTTATTTTTAGTTGCAACATAAAATATTTATATTAGAATAATATCTTAAAACAACTATTTTTATTGGCTGTGTAACATTAAGCATTTACGTGATGGAGGTACCTCAAAAACAATTTTTTCTAATGATTTCAAGGCCTTGTTAATAGGATTTTATTCTCAGATGTAAGAACACAACACAGTCATAAATATATACATATTTTAAATATATATGTATGCATATATGTGTATACATATACATTGTGTCTGAAATTTTTCTACTAGTTTTTGACCACTCTAATCATATTTTCAGGATCAACCAGTGAATTGGTAGGAAATGGCAGGTATAGTATACTTATATTGTATACTAAAACTTAAATTGTTAAAATAACTGATGTAGTTTATGCATAACATATCCTTGGTCCTTACTTCAGAATAAATGCTACTGCTGTTATGGACACTAGGACGTTTCTCTCCAAAATTCAAGGATTTAATTACAGGTTGCTTACTTTTCCTTTCCTTTTGTTTGTCCGCTGGGTACACAGTCACTGGATTGTAAACATAAACAAGTACACCCAAGTTTGAATGTGGGCTTTCAAAATCAAGTCCTCATCTCAGTTCTCCCACGCATTAGCTGTGTGGCCTTGGGCAATTTGTGGAACTCTCTAAGCTACAGTGTTTTTTTCTATAAAATAGAAATAATAATTATTCCTGGATTTTTGTAGGATTTAAATGAAAATATATTTAAATGACGCAGTATAATCCCAGATGTCATTGTGCTGAAACATAAAAACAATATATATCTAACAAATAATCCCTTTCATTAAACAGAAATGTTGTTTCCACTTCCTTTAATACTAAAACCATATATATACATATATAGACATACATATACGTATGTATACATATATTCCAAAAGTTAATTCAAAACATTCCCTATTCTCTTCCTGATGACAAATTTCCCTCAAGATGGTTCCATCCCACTCCTTCCTATGTGGTCTCTATCCCGTTTCTCTATTTCTTTGTTATGCATTCAGAACTCTTCCCTTTCCACCTGCTATTTGTACCTATCTCCTCAATTCCTTTGCAACCCAACAGATACTCTATCAAGAATACAGTATTTAACAGACATGTGAAAATATGGAGGCAAAATTTAATGGAAGCTTACATATCGAGTGGAGATACCAATGATAACATCTTGATACTTAAAAACTCTAAGAAAATTTCTTCAAATTCTTTATAAGATTTTATATTTACTTTTACTTCTTGTAATAAAATCTTTCTACAAATGAAAATGTTTTACTGTATTTAAATATACATTCCCTGTTAGCTAATATCAAACATGGTCATCTTCTATATTTTCCCTTGACAAATATACATTGTTTTAGGTCTGAAATTAAATTTTTATATAATCAATTGATTTCCATTTCAAAAATTTTACTTTTTTCTTAATTTTTAAACTCTTATATATTACAAAATCCCGCCACATAGCAGGTATTCAACGAAAGTTCACTGAGTCATGTTGAAAGTGTGTAAAGCAGTCCGATTTAATCATTTGCCTAACCTTATTATAGTGTTAACCTTATCCTTTTACTTTATATCCATATTCTAAAATTTTTATTAATGACTTTAGATGTCAGAATCAATGTTCCAAATCTGTGCCTCCCATCCCACACTTACCCATATAAATTCTAACAGATACTTCTTACCTGCTCTCCTCTTTCTAAATACCTAACACCTCAGCTGAACAAATGCAAAAATAAAGCTACAGCTTCTGCTTCTCCTGAATCCTCTTTTCTTCTTAATGCCCACACCTACCTGGACCAGCTTTTATTTTTTATCTCTCTTCCACATGCCCAAAGTATACTTTTCCTAACTACATTTCAGTAAACCAAATGGCCCAATAGAAATAAAATGTGAATCACAAATGCAAGCCTTACTTGTAATTTAAGCTTTGTAGTAACTACTTTAGAAGATTACAGAAAAATTAATTGTAATATTGTATGTAATATATCCAAAATATTACATCAATAATCAAAACTAATAAAATTATTATTGAAGAATTTATACGCTCGTGTTCATGTTAAGTCTCCAGATCTATTTGACACTTTACCCTTACAGCACACAACTATTTGGTCTTCATTATTTTCTATTTTCTTTTTTGGTACCAGGAATAGAACTCAGTGCCTCGCACTTGCCAGAGAGGCAGTGACCCACTGAGCTGCATCCTGGTTCAGTGTATAACTAATTGAACTTGCCACATTGCAGGCATTCATTCAATAGAGGCCGTCATCTTGTACCCCAGGGCTGTAACTTCCACTCCCAATACCCACTTGCTTTGTGCTCTTTCTATCCATCCTGGAAGGATTTCCACTCTGTGATTTTAACAGGTGTCTGGGTGCACAACTTCCACCATTGAGCAGATGACATCCATGACAATTTGCAAGTCACACACACTCACACCTGGGGGATGCACTGCGGGCTCTGCAGACCCACAAAAGTTCTCACCTGTGAACAGAGAGAAGTGTCAGTGACTATGGGGTGCAGGCTTTGTGATGTCAGGGAGTGAGGTGACTTGTCACACACACAGGAAGACGTAACTGACTGGTTTGAATAATTTTTGCAGGGAAGCCAAACCCAGTACTCAGGGGTAAGTAGATATTGCCCTTGGACTATTTGACCAGAAAGACTTTAGGCTAGGTCAGGTTATCCACAGAAGCAGAGTAAGAAGAGGAAGAAATTGTATTCCATCATTTGAGGTTCTCCTAATATTATGAGGTGTCAAGTAGCCCCAACACAAAGCCTTAACTGTAGGCAAACACTACATTCTCTCCAGCTTCCATGCCTTCTGTCATCACAGCCTCTAAAAGAAAGCATCCACTGCCGTCTATGGAATGTTTGGTAGTTTCCAAATAGGACTACACCATTCATTACTTAAAAGTCCTGAAAACTAAAAGATGGCAAGCTCATATATATTCTGTGACACTCTTGATCATCTGAGATTTTGACTATCAGACTGCTTTTTCTGTAACCTTTAAAAAAATATGTCCCAAATTTGAGTAATGATAAACTATTTTGAATTCTCCAACTACCCTGTAATTTATATATCTCCAGGGCTTTGTATGAGCTGCTTTCTAGTATGATTTCTTTGTCAATTCTTCAATGAATTTTTTTGTATGAATTGGCACTTGCTGATTCATCAGGATAGTAACATTTTGAATGGGAGGCAATTTAGCTATGGAAGTCTACTTCCATTTCCTCCCCAATTCCAGAAACATTAAATCCTTCAACTTCACAAGGCTTAACTCATTGTACTTTAAATTGTTGTAGAACTCTCCTAGTACCCTTGCCACTAGGTCGTCAATATCTGAGTATTAGTGCAGGTAACTTGTTATTTTTAGATTATGCTAAGATTGCATCCATATTTTACCATTCTGTTACATGTGTGTGTCTACATTCTAAACTATACTGTTGAAAATCAATGTTTTTTCATTTGTGTATCATTTGTGCATAATTCCAAATATGCCAAAAATATGCAATTGTTTAAAATAGCCATATGCATAATTTTATTTGTTCTGAAGGGAACTAAAATTCAATTTGTAAGCATAAAACAGACAGAAAATCATTCGCTTATAGGACAAAAATACATTTTCAAGAATGTTTGGATTTAAAAATACTGTCTGTTCACACAAGAGTTTTTATGTCTGTACATCTATATCACTTATTATGATTTACTAAGATAATGTTTCTGCTCAGTCAAACAAACACATGGATTTAAGCATCACTAGCACAAGGATTGAACTACTTCCTGTTTCCCTTTGATTTTGGTTGAAAGATCTCTCGATATTGCTTCCTATGAATCTGTTTGTTTATAACTAGAACAAAGCCAAAGCTGGCTGTATACAACGCATTGAGTGTCATGAAAATGCATCGCATACAGTTAGAATTCAACACTCTGAAGAGGACGAGAGATCATTGACTTGGTATGTAAACTCTGAGTCCCTGAGTTTTAGATATTTGTTTTTCTCACTACAAAAGAATAATGGTAATTGCTACTGACAAATTTAAAATGTTTGTGTAAACACTGCCAAGTAAAAAGATAAGCAGACTTGTTATGTCAAAAACCTTTGTCATTTTCTGACTTGAATTCATGTGGAATTAAAATATCTCCATATAATCAGCTATATCCATGTAAATGCAACAATTTCTGGGATGCTATCAATTATTTAAGACTCCATCCTCCTTCCTTTAAATTTTGTTTTTTCAGAAACCTAAACCTACATGACCTTGCAGAAACACATTAGCAGTGTAGTTCAACCACACAGATGAATAGAGAAAACTGGAAACCAATGAGCAAGGACAAAAGAGGAGTATGAGAGCATTCCTGTGGCCACCAATGGCCACTCCCGTATCACATGAGTGTGATATAAGATGGAAACATCTCTACATGTTTATATAACTGTCAACAGTCTTTAAAAAATACAGGAAGAAAGCCAGCTCCTCTGACTCACAGGAAGAGGTTGCAGCATTGTATGTGGACCAGGACACAGGGAAGTACAGAGGCGGTGATATCAGGAGAGGGACAGGCTTTGTCCTATATTGACAGGCTTTCCCTTTTCTCCTTCCATCTTTTTTTTTTTTTTTTTTTTTTTTTTTTTGCTGATGAAGGCAGATCACAATAATCAAATGATAGTATGCAGTGGGGGCGAGTATCTGTCTAAGTGACCTAAAGTAAGCTCTCTCCGCATCGCACTCCTCAGAATGAAAGCAGAGATGTACTGTTGTCTCTGTGCTTCAGGTAGGAGTCCACACACTGGACCCTTAGGGTGCATTGTAATTCTCTCTAGGGTGGTCCCAGAGCATTGCCTGAGAATCTCACAGTTCTTACCCTGAAGCTTTTAACCATTTGACAAAATTAAGTATATGCAACCTATGAGTCTTGAAAACAGAAATATCTTTTTTTTTCTACAGATGAGTCCTAAGGATAGTTGAATCCTACCTCAGAAGCATGATAAAGCTAAAAGAGTTAAAACAAAGATAGCAAGAAGTAATGGCTTTATCACAGCTGACACATGTACAATAAATACAAATTCCAACCACCTTTTACCTCAGCTACCCTCAGTCAACACAGAATCAGTAACAATGCAGGCTCTCTGGTGTAAATCAGTAGTACAGTGCTTTCCCAGCACATAGAAGGCCCCGAGTTCAATCCCCAGGATAGGAGAGAGAAGCAAATAAAAGCAAACATTTAGATTTTTGCTAAGCTTTTAGCATTTTTTGTGTTCTTGTTTTAAATTAACCAACTTGTATTAACTCTATGTGATTTCTACACTGAGGATGACGAAGTCATTTAAAAATATTTCCAATTAGGAAAAATATAATGCAGTTAATACTGGGTGGAACTCTGGAGCCTTGGTATTGTCACATACTACTTATGTGATGGTCTCCAGGCACGAAAGCCTTTGGCTTACCCCCACCATTCTACCATGCCCTGATCTTAACTTTGCAAATGTTAACAGCAGCTGCCCCTCTGGGCTGTTGTAAGGATTATCTGAGTTAGACACATAAAGTCATCCAGAACGGTAGTTGGAACACAAGGAACACTTTCAGAATGACTTATTGTTTGTACTTCTGTTTATAGAAACCTAATACATATTTTTAAAAATGTGTCCCAAGTGTGTTATCATCATAAAGAATTAAGAACTATAAAGTTAAGTATATTTAAATACACCAAACTGCATAACCACAGGTAATTTGATACCATAGCAATAAAATGATCTCCTGTAATATGTACATATTTTTTTAAAATTTTAAGGCTGTCAACTATTTTTAGGTGGTGAACTAAATTATGTAATTGTTCTGTGTTGTAGTTGGGGGTTGTGCAGAGAACAATCACAATCAGAGCATGGAGTTTATAATATTATTTTTATAATGGTCACCGGGAATTAACACAAGAAAATGCAGGAAATCTATCTGCAACACCAAAATATAGAATATTTAGTCAAGGGCCTAAATCCCACAGCAATACCCCACATGAGTCCTGATGAAAACCTAGAGCTCATGACAGTGCCTCCCACGAGTCCAACTGGAGGTCCAGAGCCCACAAGGACTCACACCAGTCTCTTTTATGGATCTGTGCCAGGAAGGCCCAAAGGTCAGTGGTGGAAATCAGGAAATCTACACCAGGGTGAAGGAGCTGCGCTGGTGGGATGAGGGTTCTACATTGGAGCCTCGAAGTCACACTTACAGCAAAGATCAGGGCTGTCCTGAAAGGCACCACAGCCATCCTCAGGGACAGGGAGGCCCCGAGCTCCTCTGACGACAAACACAGTCGGGTGCATACCAGGAAGCAGCGTGACGAGTTCATCCTGAAGACCAAGTGCACACGTCTTCCCTTCCAGAGCCAGGAAGAGCAATGCTCGATGTGAGGACCAGAGCTTCTCCAGGAGAACCAATGGCTCAAACAGCAAAACGTACGAGAACCCACAATGCCTCAACGCAACGATGCATTAATACATCAATGCCTCAACACCCTCCTTCTCCTTCTCCACCTCTCGATTTATGCTGGCAAATTTCCTCGGGTGAAGGATCTATGCTCCGTGCCATGCTGATGTAATCCAGCTGGCATTAAGTTGACCACAAGTTCTTAATCCACAACATTCTGAGACTCATTTTCTCTGTGTAAAGAATGAGAATAAGAACATAGAATACTGAAAAGTGAAATCAAAGTCAAAGATGGATGAATAAAGAATTTTATGGGAACTGAACTATTTGCACTAAATTCAAGTCCTCTGAAAAGAATGTATACAGAACACTATGAGAACATGCTAAGTAGATCAGCATATTTATACAGAACTACAGTGTACCTGTTAGCAGCGTTACTAAGGAGTTTGGAAAGAGAGAAGTTCCAAAACACTGGAAATGAGAAAATGCCAACCCAGTATAGGAAATTGGGTTTAAATAGAAGGTGCACTCTATACACTATAAACTTAATATTTACTTATGGGCAATGTTCTAAGGTTCTGGAATAAAGCATTTGAAATTTCCTAAAAGTATTTCACAGAAAA